CGCATATAATAGATAGATAGATACATTGTTTTTCCTTTATTGGCAATTTTTATAAAGTTTATAAAGTTATCTAACAAAAATAAATTCTGAATATTTGCCCTACTTCTTTAAGAATCTCTAGAAACCAAGATCGGTAGACAATTTAGAAGTTCGGCATAGTACCTTTAATGTGGATTGCCTGTGAATTTTCTCTATTTTTTTTCCAGGGTGCATGCCACCATGCATTGCGGCATTATCATGAAGCATATATTTTGGATCCTGATAACCAACTTCTGCATGAAAATATGAAAAAATTGAAACTTCATCTTGTAGACGGTTCTGGTACTTGTGGCAGAGATCAACTAAACACTTGTAAAAGTCGGTGACAGTTAATGGGAAACGGTAGGCTGGGACCATTTATGAGCTAAGATGTTTCTTTGGCAAACTCAGCAAGAAAAACTATGTATAAAACTGAAGTTACTTCAATGAATTGTAAGCAAAATGTTATTCGTTTAGATCGCTGTGGTGTATAGTGAAATATTGTGTGTCACTTTGTTTGATTTTGATACATAATAAATTTATTGGTATTTGTATCTGTATCGAAGTATTTAATATTTTTATCGCAGCGCACAACCAACCAATTTCTACTAAATAAAATATTTCATGGAACAAAATATTTTTCTAAACCTTCTAAGAGAGAGGGGGAATAAAAAGCCGTTGAAATATAAAAAAAAAAAAACTATGTCTGTTGAAAACTTTAAAACCAGTTAGATTACCTGATGAAAAATGGAAGAGTTTCTAATAATAGGGTTTCAAGTTTTCTCTGTTTTTTCGGCAATCAGGCAGATTTTGAAGTTCAGTATATTTATTCCTTGATCAAATATTAATTTTCAACAGCTAACTCATATACTTTTTTGATTTCATTTTTGACAAGGATTTTAAATATGTAAAAATAAGGGAGATACTTTTGTAACACTCGGTATTTATTATACTAATAATCTAACCTTAGCATACTTTTAGGCTGAAACTCAAAATCTGAAATAAATCGGTTGAATAATTCTTGAGGGATAACATTTACTTTTGGAATTTGACGTACCTTTTACTTTTGGAATTTTATTCAATTATTACAATAAATATTACGTATATGTAAAAACGTACAGTAAACTGAACACGGATAAAAACTATTCTGAAAAAAATTACTTTAAATATCGTAATAATATTTCAAAGTAAAAAAAATAAAAAGAATAATTTTAAAAAAATTATAAAATATAAAACAAATATTAAAAAAAATTTAATTCTGGTAATAAAGACCAAAATATGTGGTATTCAAACCATTCATTTGTTAATTTTTCTGTTCATATGGCAACGGTTGTCTGGAAATTTTTGTTTTCAAAATTACATTTCTTATTGCCACACATGCAGTAAGAAATACAAATCTGAAAAGTAAATTTATCCGAATAAATGGTCTTTATGCGATGATACATTTACCATATTTTATCTATACATATGCATTATCTATACATATGCATTATATATATATATGCATTANCACTGATTTGTTTCTTTTCTGCTAAAATCATCCGATAATTCAATTCAACGATTGACTTAGAATTTTGGGAATCATTACATATTTTTTCAATGATATCTAACTATTAACTGTTTTTTTAGTATCCTTCAATTTCTGTCCTTTTGGAAATCTACTTTTTTTAAATTTTTTTCCTTAGTTGGTAGCAGCCACTTCTTGCAATTCCCCCTAATCCATTTTCTTATCATCCACTTAGCAATGACTCAATTTTGTAGCAGTCCATCGCTTATCTTGTCATTGGTTAATTTTTTATGCGTAAATTTTTACTGTAAGTGAATAAATTATTTTATTTATCAAATTATCTCTTGAATATTTTATTTATTTAATTAATAAGCATTTTGAGAATTTGAGACAGACGAAGTTACATATCTTCTTAAAATATGTAACCGTAAAAAATAATCAAAAGTAATCAAATAAACTATGTGGATCGAATTTTTCTAGCTGAAAAGGAAAAATTGTAATTCTTAAGAAATTATTCAACCAATTTCAAACGAATTTTAGACATTATTGCTCAGATTGGGAGAATGAAAAAATTTATAAATGAAAACTTTTTTATTATCAAAATTTATTTTATAAAAATTTATAATTAAGTCAAATATTGAAAAAAATAACAAATAATCGAAGAGTTTAGTGAAAAAAGGGACACTTTTGTTGATCAGTTTGAATGAATATAAGGTATAGATTCCGAAGAGTATAAGGAATAAAGATTCCGATTTTCAGTTTGCGAATCTTTTTAAAATTTGCTGCTCTGACCACGCTTTTGCTTTTGACCATGAATGGAAGAAATTTAAAATAAAGAAATAAGCTCTGGCATTAACTTCGAACATTTAAGTGATTTTTTTAATTAATACAAATCAAACTCGAAAACAAAAACGTGCCTACATTTTATATATTAGGAAATATCCTGAACATAATATTTTAAAGTTAACCTTTTGTGTATAAAATGAAACATTTGTTGTATTTTTGAGGAATATCAAACTCTGCTGGGCTTATTGATTAAATTAGAGCGAGGTGAACTTTTACAGACTCGTAAAACTTTTATGAATGTAAATAGTTTTGAAAGTTTGTTTTTGTTAAGATAATTAAACCTCACGTAAAGAGTTAATTTTCTGTAACAAACATTTATTAAATAAAAATAAATTCATGTCTCTAAGCTAATATATATATATATCTATATCTATATATATATATATATATATATATAACGCGCCGTATATTTAATAAATAATGTTATTTATTGATGAGTATTTTAGCCTCTAATTTTAAATCTTAAATGCCGAAGATGACTACCGAAAATGTGTTAAACCAGCCGGTAATGCCAGCGGGTCTATCTGCACGAACTCATCGCATCGTGGTTCTACGTAGTCTCTTTCATTTCACGTGCACGAACTCACCCTTTCGTAGATCTCCATTTCTTCCAGATGCATTTACTAGTATAAACCCTTGGTCTTAGTATTTTAAGCTCAAATCGGTAGACTGCAGTTGGCAGTCTTGGTTCGATCCTTGGGCCGGGCGTGATTGACTCCACCTTCCATCCCTTCTGTGGGTCTATAAAATTAGTACGAAGCANTATCAGTATTTTAAGCGTAAATCGGACGATTCTTTCTTTCTTGAACAATAATTGACAATTGACAGTTGATCCACCAAAGATATCCACCGTTCCATGGTGCCACATATTCATCCACCTGCATTAATTCACCTGTTAGCACTATAATGGAGCGAAGGACTAAATCGGCTATGCTGCGTTAAACATGTTAATTAGCCTAGCTGTCTATTAATCCAGTTACCCCGATAGTTACAAAATATAGAAATGAAGCTTTTTTAGCCTTTCCATTTGTTTCAATAATAAGCATGACCTAAAAATAAGGGAGACTTCTTGGTAGAAGCGTGTTATGCAACATTTCCGCCAACTGGGCTATTTGCTTCGAATTAGGCTTCATTACAAAGGTTCATTAGAAGGTTTCATTGCAAAATATTGAAATGGGGCGTTTTTCGTTTTTCTATTTATCTTAAATAGAACATCTGGTTCAAAGTTAAAGCAACTGTCATCATAAAAGCGTGGCATTTAGCATTACAGTCAATTTGGCTAAATAGTCACTAATAGTCGTTCAAAAATTATTAACTATTCTCATAAATCTTTTGTAGATTTTAGTTTCATTCCATTAAGATCACATGATCCAAATTTGTGACCTATATCTTGGTAAAAGCGTGTCTTTAGCATCACTGTCAATTAGGCTAACGAGTCTTTATCATCCCACTATTTTCAAAATATTTTAATAAAACTTTGTTAGTTTTTCTATTTATCGCATATGAGCGCATGTTTTAAATTTGAGACCGTTAACTTCATGGAAAGTGAAAAAATGAATGATCAGCAAGTGAGTGAATAAATAAGTGAGATCTTCGCCTTTTATAAGCATCTAATACTTAAAACACATAATTACGTATTCAAAGACAAAGAAATTTGTCCTAGAAGCTAATTGAAATTGGGATCATGCATCAAGAGATTCCTATCGAAAAATCCCTACTGTCAATTAGGCTAATTAGAATTAATCATCTCGATAATTTCGGAATATCGGAATGAATCTTTGTTAGTTTTTCTATTTGTAGCATTAAAAAAAACTAATTTTAAATGTTAGCTTTCTAGCTTCATGAGAAGTGATAAAATTAGTATTGCGTGAATGATTGAGTAAATGAGTGAAGGCTATGCATTTTATATACACAGATTATATTTAATATTCAACATGCATAATTACGTAATCAGAGACAAAATAACTACTTCTTTGAAACTGGGATAGCACATCATGAGATTCCCATCAAAAAATCTAAATTTCATGCAAATCAATGCTTGAGGTTCAGCATTGTTGAAATCAAGAATCTTTGCATGTATCTATGAACTTAAGAGGACGCGATACCACGGGAGAAACTTTTCGTCACAAATTCTCTTTCACCTCTATAAGTAATTTAAAATTTAAAGTATAGAAAAGGTGAGTTCAGAGACAAACCTAGAGTACGCCATGAAGTCTCAAGTACGGGAAAGAAATTTTTAAAGTAGAAAAAGGAAAATAAATTCTGAGATTATGATTAGGCAATGGAGAAGTTTTCTTCCAATTATTTGCTCGCATTTTGCTATTTCAAGTTTTTTTCAGTAATTGAAGCTTTATGGTTTACTTTAGGTTCTCCTAGATATTTTTGGTTGAACATATTTTTCTTTGTTTTAAATTTTTAATTAGTAATGGAGGTGTAAGAAAATTTGCAATGAAAAATTTCTCCCGTGGTATAGCGTCTTCCATATGTCAAAGCGCTTTTAATTGCTTATCGTTACAAAAGAAAGAGAACATCATTCTGAATTCATCAAGGCATGTATACATATTAAAAGCATAGTATCAATAAAAGCATAGTTGTTTTGAAAAAAATTACTTTGCACAGTAGAGTAACTTAAAAACCATATTGAATTATATATTGTCTCCCTTGCCTATTGTCAGTATTATAATTAAAACTTAAAAGCAAAAACAATAAAATAGACTTTTTTAACATGGTAGAAGGGGTTTTCAATTTTATGGAACATTTTTATCATCAAACTTATCGTTTGCAATTGAAGTTATCTGTGCAGAATACACCATAGAAATCATTTATTTTTGTAATCTTACAGCCGAAATGTAAAATGAAATTTTTATTTCTAAAATAGAATCCTTTCTAAAATTGATAAATGTCTTGAGGGTAACATTTCTGTCGTTTTGAAGAAAAAGCATTCAAACCAATAAATTCTAAAGCGCTATAAAAATTGAGGTTGTGGAATTTCAAAAAAAGGCTTTTTGATATATTGAATTTCAAAGGTAGAAAGTGTTTGGTAGAATGTTAAATTGTATAGCTCGCAAAAATTCTATAAATTGAAAAATATACAATTTATTTTAAGACATATTGATCATCGACAGCTATCAAAAATTGAAAAGTCTACATCAGATAAAAACTACATGAAATTCAATGTTTTTAAATTGCCTATGTATTTCT